CCAGGTTTCGGATATTGCTATGATATGATAAAAGTTTTGGGTAAAGTATTGCAGGAATTCGTCATAATGGGCAGAAAGTGATTGAGAGTTAACTTGACATGTGATTAGGGAACTAGACATACAGTGGATTTGGAGAGAAACAGTCAGTGTTTGGTAGCGAGAAGACAAAACGAGTAAAAAGTACAGAAAAGCGATTATCGTACATGAAACTAAGTGAAGAAAAAGTAATATTAACATTAAAAATAAATAAAGAGAATGTACTTGAAAATAAATAGATTGATGAGTGACGGTGTAGAGATAGCACTAAGATAAGAAGTAAGATTATTTTAATGAGGCTAAGGGGTTGACGGCTTCTAGGTAGTCAGTCAAATACATCTAGATCCGAGGCCTGTTCTATCAGGATGACTCTATGTCCGTCCTCTTTTCGACACCGCACCTTTCCGGAAGCAAACCACGTATATTTGATTTTTCCCGCCGCTCTCTTCTGCCGGGCTAGCCAATAGAGGTGTCTGTTTGTGCGAGTCATCTCTTCACCCAGATAAATTCGGTGGCAGTCATTTTCCTGCCAACCGATATCCCGCGTGGAGAAATCCCTCTTCACTTTCCTTTTCATAATTAGATCATCTCTAATTGATTGCCTGACAAAACGTGCGATAACAGGCGGTGTTCGCGAGTCATCTTTTCGGCTTCTGCGGCGATGTAAGTTGTCCAGGTTCTCCACACTAAGCTTGATCCCCAAGCTTGCTCCTATACTGGTCACCAAAGCAGCGGGCGTTTCGCCCGGTCGCTCCGGTATACCGCGGATCTCCATTGATCTACTCAATAGTCCTTGCTCTGCGTTATTCAAGCGAACCTCTAATTCGCCCACTCGGGATTTGAGTGCTTTGTTTTCTAATAGTATTTCCTCAAACTTTTTAGCTTGACCTTCCAGATGTTTTTCAATCTTCGTCAGTCTTTCGTTTAGTTCAAAACTGAGCTCTCCGTATTTATCTAGTGCTGTTTTCATGTTTTTTATATCTTCGTTCACGGTAGCGTCTAAACGATTTACTGCCGCAAGTATTTCTGAGGGGGTCGGCTCGGTATTTTGTTTTTTCACCTGTTCGCAGTTAGAGCAAACCCATGTTTTTTTAATTATTTTTAATGCTTCGGTGTCTTTATCATTAAGGTTGACGCACCTACCATGAAAAATTATTTTACACTTAACGCAGTGTATATTGTTCTTATCTTCGCGTGCGATAGAGTTGTTGCAAATATTACACTGCACCATTTTTTAAATTTATTAATGAGAATTACTTCGCAATTAAAATATAAATAAATACCAAGACTGTTGACGGTAGTAAACAACGTCTAATGCTGGTCTAATGCTGTTAGGATTAGTAGACGCCTGCCAGCTCGTTGCTCCCAGAACTCTATCAATCTCGCTGCGTTTTCTTTACTCCGATTATTGTGAAGATCCGACACTTAATAGCTCGATTAATAATAGTGTTTTTTTAAGAAAGAGAAGAAAAAAAAAACTGAACTTAACAGAACTGAAAATTAAATTAAAGTAAACTGAGTCTATTATATGAACGAATTACACCGATGTACACACCAGGGCGTCTCAGGCCAGACTGAGATACTGCTGTTCAAATATATTTTACCATTAAGGAGAGGTGTCTGAACAATATTTCACGAAGTATATGCTTAAGCTCACCGGATTTGCAATTCATGCTTTCTAATTTAATGCCAGCTAACCCAGAATATCTTGATCGTCTAACAAGGAAAAATCATGGCATTCAGTCAAATTATAATTATAATAAACTATGAGTGGAGTAGAAAACAATAAAGGGAATAGTTCGATGTAGTTGTTATTTTTTCTGCGATAATAGAACTTGCATTTAACTTGACTCTGGAAGAATATATTTATATTTGTTCTAATACGTCAATTGTTTTGCGATTTCTTAAAGTTTATTTTTTCTATACTTTTCATCCAGTTTTCTATTAAGAAAAGGAATAAATTGTATTATGTATTAATTTATCCCCACATATATTATTACAGTAAGGCTCGAAATCAGTTTTGTACAAAATACAAGCTCCATATACCATGCTCAATGACCATGAATGGGGTACCGTTGGGTTCAGAATTTCACGGGGGGTTAGCGAATCGTATTCTACACTTTTGTTTTTCTTTCTAAAATAAATAAAGTAGATACAAACATTTTGCTAGGCTTCAATACTGGAACGGTGGTAGGTCTGTAGATCGATGCGGTACAAATTGGACCTTGAAGATTTTGATGCGTACAGCAAAACCCGGATAGTTCCTACGGAACTATCGGATCCTGCTTTTTTAAGCCCAAAAACGTACTATTTTCGAGATAACGCAAGGCATGGGGTTCGCATCCACACAACCTGACGATAATTGTAGTACTATAATTGGATACATGTCTCATTTCGTCGACTTAAGGTCTCTATGGTCGAGAGAGTAGAAGTTTATATTATTTAGCGATGGTGTTTTTGATCAGCAAGCTACATCATCGTTAATTCTTCACCAAATCTCATTCACGAATTTTGAAGGCTTCCTTCTCCTTCAGGCGGAAAAATAGTCCAATCATCCCGAAAATTCAGGCAAACAAGTTATGAAAGAAAAGAAACTTTATTTGCGAATAACTAAAAAATTACACACTTTTTCCTTATGCCTATGATTATATAAAACATTACTAAATTTCCTACAAAAGGAAAAAAAAATCATTGAAATCGAACAATTTTTTGCAAAGATACAGCTTATTGAAATTTGTAAATACGCTGGTTCCAACCAAAAATGAAGATTTAAATTAATTTTGTTTCTTTTGTCGATTAAATTTATCAATAAAGTAACAATTGATTCCTTTATGTTTTGATGCGTTGCATTATTTTCTTTTCTTATTAATTAGACATTTGATAACAATATGCTGTGCGAATTTTTAAATATGCTGTGTAATATGGTTATTATCTAGCCAATTTTTCTTACAGCTTTCTTCACTAAATTGTCCAGATAATTACTAAACTCGCAGGTTACTGCATCTGATTTATGTATTTATTATTAGGACTGAATACAAAGAACATTTTGATTACAGTAAGACCTTGAAGGTCATTGGCGCAAGATAAGTTTCGAATGGAAAAAAGAAAATCTAGTATCAGTTGAGTAATAATTTATCCTATGACAATAAGAAATTTTAGTATTTATTAAGAAATAACTTATTTCCAAATTTATTTTACCCATACCAACAAATAACTCATCTAAACATTATTTTGAGAACTCAACAAATATTTTGAATGATATATAGCAAATTGAAAAATAAGTTTAGTATTATGAATAACGTTAAAGCACTGATTTAATTTATTATTTTTTTATTTATTGAGTATTAGAACAATCTGTCACTTGGACATTACTTATAGTGAGGTAGAACAACATTCACACTATATGTACAATATATATATATATATATATATATATATATATATATATATATATATATATATATATATATATATATATATAAACTAAGTAGAAGCAAAATAACAATAAATAATAATCAAAAAGTATATAGAACAAATAAAAAAACTTAAAAATAAGAAAATTAAAACAAAACAAAAAACTCAACGGAACTCCGAGGCAGGCTTGTCTCTCCAACTATGGAGGGGAAAAAAAGCGCTGATTAAAGAAAAAATACTACATTATTAAGACGTCAAGGTCTATTTATTTTTCTAAAATTCTACTTATATTATTCTATAATACATCATAATTGATAGAAATTGATTCAATATACCTAAGCTAGGATAAGATAACCTGATATTCAGATGATAACTAGAGTATTTTAATTTATAACTATTTTTATTTTAATCTTAGGATTGCAGGCAATATCCAAGATTACCATTGTTTTTTTTTTTTACTAAATCTATATATTTAGTTGATTTAAAATTGGTTTGAATTTGGAAAGGAACTAGAGAAAAAAATAATAAGAAAAATAAAATAAAATATATATAAAATACTTTACATTCCTCCAACTACCAAATTTATTTTTCAATTAAATTCAGTAAGACAAATTACATTAAAAAAAAATTAACCAGTTACATGTATAGGAATACTTTCATACAGTGTGAGAATTGAAATGTTATATCTATTGTAAAGCTAGAAATTATTAAAGAATTTAAAGTATTCAAACTATTTGTTACAGGTCGGGTGCTGGTGTTTTCAATGGAAAGAAGTAAGGAATTTCAAGGAGTACCTTGAGGGATTTTTGACTGTTTCGCTAAATAAAACCTCGTCGAATAAATATATTTTAGATATTTCTAAACCAAACATAGAATCTTTTATTAGCAATATATACTCAAATAATAAATTAATAGAGAGTATAACTAAGCTGAGATCCTCTAATGATCATCGTTATGCAAAATTCATTGAGGAAAAAAATTTTAGAGATTCCTTCGCAAATCGAATTAATCAATTACTGATTCCTTTACGGAGAAGACATATTAAAACGAGGCAGATGTTAAATAAAATTATATCTTTAATTGATATTTATGAATGGTTCGCAGAGAGAATATTTCGAAGTTGTGTAATTCGAGATAAAAACTGCTTGAATAAAACAAACGCTTGGTTAAGATCGATTCTAAATTCCTTTAATTGCATACTACACAGAATGTGCCAGAACATTAATAATTATATGAACCACTCAATAAGTAAAAGAACAATTTGTCCTACTCATCAGTTTAGTTGTAAATATGGTAAATGCATTAGAAGAAATTTGTTTTGTAACGGTATATGTGATTGCACAGATTGTAGCGATGAACCTCCTGATTGTGGAAGGCAGTGCTTTGAATTTCGCTGTAAAAATTTTCACTGTATTAAGTATGATAAGAAGTGTAATGGCGTTGATGACTGTGGAGACGGAACAGACGAGGCAGGATGTCAACAAATTAGCATAGTGAGACCGCAATATCGTTCGATTTTTGAAAAGGAAGGAAAGTTCTTATGCAGCAATATGGAGTGTGTCGATCTGCAACAGATATGTGATGGGTACAATAACTGTGGTGACTGGTCCGACGCAGGAGTTCATTGCAAAGTAGCAGAGTGTTCCCCGAGATGTAACAGTACGGACGGGGTTTGCATATCAAGACCCATAGGATCTGAGTGCGTGATAGAATGCCCTCCTGGAATCTTTAAGACTTCAAAAGGATACAGCTTTAAACCAGGAGTTCCATTAACATTCTTGGTGCTGTTTCATGAAGATACGCCACGTCGTGAGATAAGATATACAGTCAAATTGAAATTCCTGAAATTTAAAACGATAAAGATGATCTCTAAAACTTTTGAAATGGTTGTAGAATGTAAAAAAAACAGCTTTAGTCTATTATCTGCGGTTATTAAGAAATCAGATCAGACTGTTAATATTAGAAAAGTTGATCGTCACCGTGCAGCTACCAATAAAAAAAAAGAAATCAAAGGAAATTGGGACGCAGATTTTTATACAGTAGACTCATATAGTACCGAGACCGAAGAAAACGAAGAAGAAGAAGAAAATACGCCAACTACAAAATTAACCACCACAACTACGCCATCGACTATAACAACCATAACTACACCCTCGACTAGAACAATAGCAATAATGTCTTCAACCATAAATGCCACCAAATCCACACCCAAGTCTACTAAAATCACTACTACCCTAACGAATACAACCATTGCTAAACAAAACATTTTCACGCCTACCATCACTACAACTACTACTACAACCCCTCCGACTATCACAATCACAACTGACCCAACATTTACCATAACTACTCCTACGAGTACCACAACCAAAACAACAATCAAGACTACAACCACCACAGATATCCCAATGATTACCTCTACGACAATCACAACTATCCCTACGACTAGTACAACCACAACTACCCCCACGAATACCACTACCACACCCACACCAACTTCTACTACTACCGGAACCACACCCACGAATACCACTATCACAACTACAGCCAAATCTACTTCCACACTTTCACCTACTCCTATGATCACCACAACCACAACTCCTTCGACTACCACGATTATCTCTACGACTTCTACTAACACAACCACAAATGCTCTCTCGACTACCATAGCTACTACGAACACTACAAGCACAACTACTCCGACTATAAATACTTCTTCGACTACCACCATAACCACAGTTAGTCCTACAACTACCAAAATGAGAATTAGGCGCTCGACTACCTCAACTAATACTACAAACACAACTATCCGTACGTCTTTCATAACCAGTACCATCCTCTCGACTAACACAATCACAACTACCTCTACGAATACCATAACCACAACTATACCTACGACTAGTACAACCACAACTACCCCCACGACTACCACTACCACACCCTCACCAACTTCTACTACTACCGGAACCACACCCACGAATACCGCTATCACAACTACAGCCGAATTGACTTCCACACTTACACCTACCCCTATGATCACCACAACCACAACTCCTTCGACTACCACAATTATCTCTACTACTACTACTAACACAACCACAAATGCTCTCTCGACTACCATAGCTACTACGAATACTACAAGCACAACTACTCCGACTATAAATACTTCTTCGACTACCACCATAACCAAAGTTAGTCCTACGACTACCAAAATGAGAATTACGCGCTCGACTACCTCAACTACGCCTACAACTACTACAAACACAACTATCCGTACGTCTTTCATAACCAGTACCATCCTCTCGACTAACACAATCACAACTAAAACTAGGAATACCACAACCACAACTATCCCCACGACTACTACTACCACACCAATACCAACTTCTTCTACCACCGTAACCATAGCCACGAATACCACTATCACAACTACTGTGAAATCTACTTCCACACTTACACCTACCCCTATGATCACCACAACCACAACTATTCCCACGACTACTACTACCACACCCACACCAACTTCTACTACTACCGCAAGCATAGCCACAAATACCACTATCACAACTACAGCCAAATCGACTTCCACGCTTACACCTACCCCTATGATCACCACAACCACAACTATCCCCACGACTACTACTACCACACCCACATCGACTTCTACTACTACTGCAACCATAGCCACAAATACCACTATCACAACTACAGCCAAATCGACTTCCACGCTTACACCTACCGCTGTGATCACCACAACCACAACTATCCCTACGATTACTACTACCACACCCACACCAACTTCTACTACTACCGCAACCATACCCACAAATACCACTATCACAACTACAGCCAAATCGACTTCCACGCTTACACCTACCCCTATGATCATCACAACCACAACTATCACCACGACTACTACTACCACACCCACACCGACTTCTACTACTACTGCAACCATAGCCACAGATACCACTATCACAACTACAGCCAAATCGACTTCCACGCTTACACCTACCCCTATGATCACCACAACCACAACTATCTCCACGACTACTACTACCACACCTACACCAACTTCTACTACTACCGCAACCATAGCCACAGATACCACTATCACAACTACAGCCAAATCGACTTCCACGCTTACACCTACCCCTATGATCACCACAACCACAACTATCCCCACGACTACTACTACCACACCTACACCAACTTCTACTACTACCGCAACCATAGCCACAGATACCACTATCACAACTACGGGCAAATCGACTTCCACGCTTACACCTACCCCTATGATCACCACAACCACAACTATCCCCACGACAACTACTACCACACCCACACCGACTTCTACTACTGCTGCAACCATAGCCACAAATACCACTATCACGACTATAGCCAAATCGACTTCCACGTTTACACCTACCCCTATGATCACCACAACCACAACTATCCCCACGACTAATACTACCACACCTACACCAACTTCTACTACTACCGCAACCATAGCCACAGATACCACTATCACAACTACAGCCAAATCGACTTCCACGCTTACACCTACCCCTATGATCACCACAACCACAACTATCCCCACGACTAATACTACCACACCTACACCAACTTCTACTACTACCGCAACCATAGCCACAGATACCACTATCACAACTACAGCCAAATCGACTTCCACGCTTACACCTACCCCTATGATCATCACAACCACAACTATCACCACGACTACTACTACCACACCCACACCGACTTCTACTACTACTGCAACCATAGCCACAGATACCACTATCACAACTACAGCCAAATCGACTTCCACGCTTACACCTACCCCTATGATCACCACAACCACAACTATCTCCACGACTACTACTACCACACCTACACCAACTTCTACTACTACCGCAACCATAGCCACAGATACCACTATCACAACTACAGCCAAATCGACTTCCACGCTTACACCTACCCCTATGATCACCACAACCACAACTATCCCCACGACTACTACTACCACACCTACACCAACTTCTACTACTACCGCAACCATAGCCACAGATACCACTATCACAACTACGGGCAAATCGACTTCCACGCTTACACCTACCCCTATGATCACCACAACCACAACTATCCCCACGACTAATACTACCACACCTACACCAACTTCTACTACTACCGCAACCATAGCCACAGATACCACTATCACAACTACAGCCAAATCGACTTCCACGCTTACACCTACCCCTATGATCACCACAACCACAACTATCCCCACGACTACTACTACCACACCCACACCGACTTCTACTACTGCTGCAACCATAGCCACAAATACCACTATCACAACTACAGCCAAATCGACTTCCACGCTTACACCTACCCCTATGATCACCACAACCACAACTATCCCCACGACTACTACTACCACACCTACACCAACTTCTACTACTACCGCAACCATAGCCACAGATACCACTATCACAACTACAGCCAAATCGACTTCCACGCTTACACCTACCCCTATGATCACCACAACCACAACTATCCCCACGACTACTACTACCACACCCACACCGACTTCTACTACTGCTGCAACCATAGCCACAAATACCACTATCACAACTACAGCCAAATCGACTTCCACGCTTACACCTACCCCTATGATCACCACAACCACAACTATCCCCACGACTACTACTACCACACCTACACCAACTTCTACTACTACCGCAACCATAGCCACAGATACCACTATCACAACTACAGCCAAATCGACTTCCACGCTTACACCTACCCCTATGATCAGCACAACCACAACTATCTCCACGACTACTACTACCACAACTTCACCAACTTCTACTACTACCGCAACCATAGCCACAGATACCACTATCACAACTACAGCCAAATCGACTTCCACGCTTACACCAACCCCTATGATCACCACAACCAAAACTATCTCCACGACTACTACTACCACACCTACACCAACTTCTACTACTACTCGCAACCATAGCCACAGATACCACTATCACAACTACAGCCAAATCGACTTCCACGCTTACACCTACCCCTATGATCACCACAACCACAACTATCTCCACGACTACTACTACCACACCTACACCAACTTCTACTACTACCGCAACCATAGCCACAGATACCACTATCACAACTACAGCCAAATCGACTTCCACGCTTACACCTACCCCTATGATCACCACAACCACAACTCCTTCGACTACCACAATTATTTCTACGACTACTACTAACACAACCACAAATTCTCTCTCGACTACCATAGCTACTACGAACACTACAAGCACAACTACTCCGACTATAAATACTTCTTCGACTACCACCATAACCACAGTTAGTCCTACAACTGCTAAAATGAGAATTACGCGCTCGACTACCTCAACTACGCCTACAACTACTACGAACAGAACTATCCGTACGTCTTTCATAACCAGTACCATCCTCTCGATTAACACAATCACAACTACCACTACGAATACCATAACCACAACTATACCTACGACTAGTATAACCACAACTACCAGAACTACAACCATCCCCTCGACATCTATCTCCAAGATTACTGCAACCACAACTACTCCTACGACATATAGAAGTTCTGACCAAGATCACGGCAAAACAGAGATAGACGGCCTTATTACCATTATGAGAAGTATTATATGGAATAAAGCTAAAGTAGAACACAAAGTTCTCACATCCACTAAAACTATTCCAACGATAACATTTATCAGAATTACCCCCACGAGTACAGCAACCACAGGTATTTTGACAATCACTACAACTCCTGTGACTATATTAAGCAAAATTTCAACAGCTCTAACCAGGAAAAAAACACCTACCTTTTTCATTGCAACTAAAAAGATTAAAAAAAACAGGAAACATAGCAAGCGTCGTTGCAAGAAGCGTCGTTGCAAGAAGCGTCGTCACTCAAGTATATGGGATTGGTAATTAGATATTTTTTTTAAAACGTAAATGTTTAAGTTGTGTAATCCTTTTTCTATAAGCAGATGCAGCCTGAATTAATTAAATTTGATTCTATAGATAACAATATTAGTTAGCCTTCTCTAACATCTTCCTATCTGTTCCAGACAAACAGTGATGGAAAACAATTTAGAATAAAATATTACAACCTATACTACCGTTCTATTATTAAGGAAGGAGATGGTCCGGGGTGGCGGTCATAAATAGACTGAATAGTTGGGAAACTATTTTATTAAAAGCCAACGTTTCGACCCGACTTTACTGAGTTAAAACTGAGTTCTAAGTGAAACTCCTTGCTGAACACTTCTTCCTGAAGAAGATCTACAAAGTCGGGTCGAAACGTTGGCTTTTAATAAAATAGTTTTGCCACTATTTATGACTGCCAACCCGTACCATTTCCTTCTTTTATGATTCGTAATGTTATAATGTTAGCTTTTAACATTTTTGGAGTTTTTCATTATTATAATAAAGGCTTAGCGAACCCAAAGATACGATGTCGATGCCACCAATCACTGTCTACAGACCGGACCCCGCCCAAACCCAATCCCATAAGATCAGCCTTACCCTTTGGACGCCAGGACATTAGTCGAGCAAATAGAGACATGGATCAGAGAGCTCGATTGTGAATGTTGTGGGTTCGATTCTCCCTTCCCCCCAGGTCGGTTGATATTTATTATGTGGAAACCCTGACTTTGGTTGATACTCCGTGACAACCACTAATTAGTTAGACGTCAAGGGTTGGCGAAATGAAGCACAAGGCCCACATGCCGGACTAGTTCCCCCTCCAGTACCAGTACCGGTACTAATTGAACTCTTACTAGACGGCACAAGGCCATTACTTATTTTATTCATCTATTAGCCAATAAGCTCACCACTTTTACACATCCATTTTGATCACCGGTTAGCTATCGTCTCAGTTATATACATTCAGAACAGTTAAGGGATTAGGTGGCGTAAAGCTATTTTCGCCCATATTTCCGATTAAATCGTCCTTCTGTCTTTATAGTTTATGCAATACTTTATTTTTAAAAATACTTTTTTTTTTCTTTATAGGCCTTAGTAAAGCCTGCTTGCAGTTCAATATAATTTTGCTCTCAGCACAAAGGCTGGCCATTTCACTAAAGGAATATCATCCCTCATAAAAAATCTACATAAGTTCTTATTTTAATTTTATTTATTTATATATACATTACATCATGTTTTAGTCTTTCATAGAGCCTAATGGCCAGTTGCTCCCGATGTGTCTCAAGAGGTACTGTTTGTAATTCTAGCGCAGATATTGGAGTTGTTCTGCTCCCTCCTGTAACGAGTCTAATGGCTTGATTCTGGATTATGTCGAGCTTGTGTAATATCGCGTCCGAAGCAGTGATAACAAGTTCTCCTCCATATTCAATAACAGGGCGGACATATGTTTTGTAGGCAAGTGTTGTAACATCCCCCGTTGCTCCCTGTTTTGAGCCACCTAACGTCTGTATTAACGAAAGTCGTGTTGAAGCCTGTTCTGTTTGTTTTTCAATATGTTTATTCCAGGAGAAGATTTTGGATCGAAGATGGAACATAAAAGGGACACCAGGAACATCATTCCATCAGTACACTACCATAATCGTAGTATCCATTCAGTCCCGACCCATTTCACTTGTTTTGGCAATAAAATAAAATAATAGATTTATTTGTAACATAAATATAGTATTCTCCAATCAAGATATTTAAAACGTTTGCATTATTTTCCTATGTATTGTTTTACTTTTAAAGTTATAAATAGATATTACTTTGATTAAATCTGGATCTTTTAACAATTTTTCTTGCATGCCACCATATATATACATATAGATACGGATAGTAAATCGGAAAATATATTTGACACTTTTTTGTATGCATTTTCTTGGTAGTTTATCGTTGACCGACTCCAGTTTATCTTAAAATTATCCAGAACACCTTGGGTGTCGCATCCATAGGTCAGGAAGTCGAACGAACTTAGTCGGGAGGAACTTTCAAGTAGTTTCCACCGATCATACTCACTTAAGCTACATTACTACCGTGAACTTTTTAAATATATAATTTTATTTTATTAACGTTTTTATTCTAATTACGTATTATAGTTAATTATTTTTTACTATTGAACTAAGTAAGTGACAAAAAATAGCACATTTGATTTTTCCAAACTACAGAGTAATCTATGGTTATCGACATGACCATCCACCACTTCGTTTCAAAATGGCGGCGTATCATGTTTTATATAAGCTGCTTTGGAATTATAAGTAAAAACCATTAAAAATAAAATTCTAGTTCATTCCTTGCACATCCCCGAAAAGGAGGAAAAAGATTATGAAATAATATAAAATTTGTTTGTGCTTTACATAGAAATATATTTTGATAAAATGTTTCATTTGAAGAGGAAATCAAATTAATAACAAAAAATATAGAAACATACCAGCTAAAGAACTTTCAAAACATGTTTTATATAACTTTAAAATATTTTCTGTGCATGAAAATTCTGTGCTTACCATAATTTATTTTTTTCATATGGCGGAACATTTCATATGGTTATATGAAAAATAATTTAACTATTTATATACTTAAATAATTAAAAAAAATCATTATAGGACTATTGAGATTAAATGAATATGATCAAGCTTAGAACGAATTTTAACTAACAATATCTATGATAAACTTCGCCAAAAGCGATACATATATTCAAATGAGATCGACCAGATATTTTGGTATATTACCATTTGTAAATAGTAGACTACTGTGTAATAATTTGCAGTGATTTTTATTTTCAGGTTTTTGAGGTTCTGGCCGTTTTCCCTCTTTGCCTGATGGAATTCAATCTTCATCAAATCATCTCAACATGATGATACGTTTCATTTTACTAAAAAATTCATCAAATAAAACAGTTTTATATTTTTTTAAAAATAAATAACTAAATTATATACTTATGGCTTGTATCCTCCCTTGCCCCCTTAAATGACTAAATTGTTAAATCTTATGATTTAGAGCTGCTGAGAGTTAAACGTTTTTTTAAGTGAAAACTTATTTAGGGCGCGTATTGCACTTCTTTGTGGAGAGTGAATTAGATTGATCCGGAAGATTTTAACGCTCAGATAAAATCGGCTATAGTCGATTAATTAAAATGTTTTTACGTATGGTTTAAAATATTTTAGAAACTAAAATTAGGATCTGCATACTGTGTGGGCAATTGTTCAGCATTTCATCCACTATGTAATACGCTATAATTCAAAATTGTATCTTAAAGTGAAGCCGTGTTAGGAAGGCGGAAAAGTAAAAAAACAGTGTCGAAAATCAAATGATAACGAGGTTAGCTGAATATATGGATTAAAATATTTCAGATACTAAAAATCGAACCTGTATACTGTAACAGATGGAAATGTTTACCATTTTGTCTTCTTTGTAATGAGCTATTATACAAAATTTTATCTTAACCCAACACCGTATTAGAGAGTGGGAGAGGGAAAAAGGCAGAGTCCAAATCCGAATGATAATATATAGTTCAAATCCTAATATTGTTACAACATTGAAATTTTATTTTAACAACAGTATTAACAATATATAAAAAAGAAGAAGATAAATAATATAAATGAGAATATTAGCAGTAATTCTTAGGAATAATGGAAAAAATATAATAATATAGAATTACATAACCTTCCAGCAGGAGATTTCCACATAAATATTACACAGTCGTTGGATACAACTACTTAATATCACTAATTTAAATAAGTAAATTATAAATCATTAAGGACATTTTTAGATTTACCTTGCTTTGATGTCTATATTTTATGCAATAGAACTTTGGTATTAACTTTAAAACTTTCTTATTAAACGAAATTAAACTAATTAACCCTAACTACAATACATCTAGAATACATGGATTAGTATAAAATGTAAAAGTGGCGCTCCACTTATTCCTATCATCAGTAATATCAATGAGGAAACTGCAAAAATTGGCTAAATATCTCAATTCCACACTCAATAACCTAAAATCAGGGTGATGTAAAAAACCCGATGGATGTGGATCAAATGCTTGAAGGAATATACAAATAGACAATAGGTAAATATTGTTTACAAGTCGGAATAAGAATAGATTCTTTCCATTCTTCAGGTAATTTCTCGTTCACCCAGATCTTTTTAACCAACCGATGTATTTTTGAAACTCCAGCTTCCTCGCATGCCTTAATTAGTTCAGTAGGAATATTATCGATTCCCGCTGCTTTATATGATTTTAATTTTCCGATAGCTACTTCAACTTCTTTTTTACTTGGTCCTTCTATTAACGGTTTTAGCACTCTGATACTCAGAAGGAGGACACAGATCATAATTTCCCGTATTTAAAATATTGTCAAAGTTAAGGACCACTTTGACAATATTTTAAATACGGGTCTGTTTATACCTTTGTACATGTCTCTTACGTTATTTTCGATTTTATTAGTTTCTATTTTAATTATTTTATTTTTAAGATACTCCCTTTTTTTATTTTTGAGCAATTTTGTGGTTTCGTTCTTTGAGATTCGGAAGTATTCCAGATTGTCTTCGCTAGGATTATTTAGAGCTTTTAATTTAGCGGCTCTTCTTTTTTCACACATGTTTAAGCAATCTTCATCAAACCACGGTTTGTTATTCT